TATTATATTAAATTAAATTGTTTTTGATATTTTATATGCTTTTAATGAGTATTTAATTTTTAAAACATTTACTTTCCTATCAAAGGTAGCATTTAGGAGACCTAAATTAAAATATATAAATTCTGTTGTCAGGTGAGAAATCCTGACAACAGAAATTCTTAATATATATTTAAGAGAAAAGTTAAAATTAAATATAATGGTCTGAAAGATAATTTTATATGCATAAATAATGTCAACTAAGTGGGTCCCACGTTTTGGATATGATAATTTACATAAATGCTATCCATACCCATCTTTTTTAATAATAGTACGAGTACCAGACATGTCTGTCTTCCAATAAAAATCTAAATCAAAACCTATAAAGTATCTTTTGAATGTTTGAATTACCGCTTAACTCCCGCGAACCCATAACATATGAAAGACTTGTTCCAAAACTCCTACCGGCAAAAAAGAAGTCATGAATAAAAAAGGCCTGCTCTTATGCCGTGTGCTTCTCTCCATATATCTCTCTCTCTCTTCTATGGGCAGAAACACTGCTTCCCCATTAATTTTTCTCGCCGACCACCGACTGAATTAGATCTCCGGCCATGAAACCCATATCTCCGATGTCTCTGATCAGCGAGGTTAGTCAACTTGTCACCGTACCTCGATCTTTTCCGGCGATTAAAGACGCCGACCACAAACATCAACTTTCACTGGATTGAGCACACAAACTGTTGAGACCTTTTTGTTTTCTATGTGTTCTGGTTTATATGATTATTTACCCTTTGATCGTTGCTTTTTGAGAACCTCCATTTCCACTGTATTGCAAGATCTGTTGGTTAATGGAGATATATGGTGTAATTAGTTGATTATTATTTATAAAATCAAATAACTTCTTGTTTATTATTATAATTATTTTATTTTGGACCAATTTGTTTTCTGCAGAACAATGTTTGAAGATGAACGAGTGGTGAAGCAGCAACGCCCTAAATTTACTCGTTTTTCTTTCTCCAATTTGTTGAAATTATTGAGAATTGCTAGAAATTATTTGGGAAGAAGCAAAAAAAATCCGATTTTTAGTATATTTTCAGAAAATGGGTGAAGAGGGGGAAAGTTCATCTTCTCGTCAAGTTTACCCACCTGAGGTTGCTTATGCTCCGGCGACACCAGCAAAGCCCGACCGATCGGATTGGGGTCCCATCGGCATTGACTGGCTCAAGAATCAGTTTGATGAAGTCATTTTTGAAGAAACATCTGCAAAGAAGAGTATCAGTTGCTGGGAGGGTAATTCAGTGTCAACAAGTCATATTTATGATCTCAGTGGGTTTTCCATGGATGATGTGGAAACATGGAATAGCATTTCTTGTAGGGATCTGCTTGCACTTGCAGATGCCACGATACGAAGAGGTTCCGATGATGGTGATCACGATAGATCGGATGGCTTGGATTTTGATAACAGAAGCAACTGCATTGATACACAACAATGTGAGCACAATCATGCTTTGTTTATAGGTGTAAACCAATATCAAATGTTTTTTAGTAGTTACTGATTTTATATTTGATGTGGTGGTACAGATGGGTGGCTAAATCTTGGTAACTACTCACCTGATCTTAATTTGCCACCGGAAATGGTAATGAAACCACTGGTAAGCACTGGTTTATCGACTCAAATTACGCCAGGGACACCAGATCAGGCCAGAAGGGCAGAGCATAAACAAATGGGATCTGATATAGTAGCAAAAGTTGTAGCAGATAACAACAAAGAAAGGTATAATCTTGATGAACAGCCGCAAGTGCAGGTGCTTGTCGAACAACTACAGGGCGATGTTTCTACGATTGTGGAGGCAAATCAAGACTTCGAAAAGGGATTGACTGCAGAAACCAATTTGAATGAAACACCACAACCGAAACAAAGAAGAAGAAAGCACAGACCAAAAGTGGTTAGAGAAGGTCAGCAGAAAAAAGCAAAACAGTCCGCAACCCCCCAAAAGCCTGATGGTTCGTCAACGGGGAAGAGGAAATACGTCAGGAAAAAGGGGGTTGAAAAGTCCCCAGCAACACCTGCCGTGGAAGAAGGGAGTGGGACGATAGATCCAAGCTCAGATCAACAGAATAAGAAATCGTGCAGGAAAAAAATCAACTTTGATGAGACTGAGAAAGGGAATGAAGTAACGGTTGAGACGGCAGAAGTTAATATCACGGTTGATAAAACATGCTCGATGAATCAAGTGGTAGAAACAATACTTGAAAGCCAGTCCGCAAGCCCTATCACCCCCAGCAAAACCGAGCTACCGATAAAGGATGCCAAGCACACCTACAGAAAAGTAAAATGTCGGATAAATTTCTTACAAGAAACTCATGATAAACGGCCGAGTAGCGTATCAAGTCCAAATGAATCCAACTGCAGCACCAGTGCAAGTTTTAACAAAGGAGAAGCACAGGGATCAAAAATGGAACTTTCAAGTAAGATTGTCGGAATGGAACTTTGGGATGAAAATGCCATAGGAGTTGGCTGCAATCTATCAAAGTTCACCAACGATTGCAGTGGCGGTAAACAAGGCATGCACTTACCTGCAAACAAGAAAAAGAGAATCGAGAAGTGTCGAAGTTCCATCACATCTGGTGCAATTTCTTCCGTGTGTTCTGCACAATCTAGTGATTGCAGCTTCTTGGCTGAACAAAATGCCAGTAAAGCACCTCAAATGTCAAAAGACTACGTTTTAAAGGATGATCAACAACCTTATAAGCAGGCATTTGGACATCTGGAGAATTCCAAAAAGAAGAGAAGAAGCAAAGCTTTATCGCTGATCCCTGACTTGGCTTTATTTCCTGGAATTGTAGAAGGTAGACATTGGCAAACTCCCAAAGAAGGATCAAGATATGAAGTTGCATATCAGCAGCAAACATACACGGAAGCCCATGCTGCAGATTTCCATGTTAGTATAGCAACCAAGAAACGGATGAAGAAAAACGCTAAGCTCCCTTCTTTATATCAAGACCACCTGCGCTTCACCAAAGGTATTTACTCCATACTGACTAGGGGAAGTTTTCTAATTATTTATAGTGTGAAGAGAGAACAAAATATTGGTTCTTAAGATTCTTCTGAGTTCCTTGCAACTTTTAATGCAGGTTGCATTGATTCACTTATTAACCAATTTGAGAGGCTAGATATAAACAGTCAGATGGCTGAAGAAGGCAGGGATGCACTTATCCCATACTTGTCGAGATACAATGAGAAGAATGCTCTTGTTCTATATCAAGAAAGAGGTCTTGTTCCTTTTGAAGGTTTGTTTAATCCGGTGAAGAGAAGAAAGCCACGTCCTAAAGTTGACCTTGACGAGGAGACGAGTAGAGTCTGGACGCTTCTATTGGAAAATATAAACAGTCAAGGAATAGATGGAACAGATGAGGACAAGGCAAAATGGTGGGAAGAAGAACGGAGAGTCTTCCGTGGAAGAGCAGATTCATTCATAGCACGGATGCATCTTGTCCAAGGTCAGGATTCTGTGCATGCAGACATCAACGAGTATTTCTTGAACAAGATTTCAATATCAAAAAGTAGATCTCGAATGATTTTAATCTTTTCATTGGAAAACTTTACTGAAAAGGGTTATCAATTAACCATCTGGTAAAATAAGAACATCCCCCATGTCCAAAGTCCCTCTTTTACCATTAGCATTTAGCAAGATGCAAATTTCTCCTTCCTTTATAATATTTGTGTCAACACTAAAAATGGAAGTTTGCAGGGGACAGACGCTTCTCTCGGTGGAAAGGATCTGTCTTAGATTCCGTGATCGGGGTTTTCCTTACCCAGAATGTATCGGACCATTTATCCAGGTAAGATACAAACAGCAGTAATTGCAAAAGAATACATTGCATGGTCCTCATCATTCATCAAGAAACATTAAATAAATTCACTCACCTTTGCAGTTCAGCATTTATGGCTCTTGCTGCACGGTATCCCCTCAAGTCAAAGAGCAGCAGTGAACCACTCCATGATGATGAATCAATTCTCTCTGTGAAAGAACCATGCCAAGTAGATCAAGACGAAACCATTACATGGCATGAGAAGCTGAATCAGCCATCTGGAGACCATGGTCCTATGATGCTGCAGGACATCGATCTGTGCGAAGAAAAAGAAGTCGTCAACAGCAATAAATTTCCTAAAAATAGCGGTTGTGTTGACTTGAATGTGTCTTCAGAAGGTGAAGTTCCAGAGTTAGCTGAAAAAGATTTAGCAATGTACAAGGAATCAGTTGTAGATCAGATAGAAAATGATGATATAGCCTCTTCACAGAATTCAGCAAATATGTCTCCAAGCTCTGTACAATCTTCAGTTGCTCATACCACTGAAAGATTAGGATCCTGCTCTAAAGAAGAACAAAAGGACATGTCTAAAGCTACCATTTTTGGTGGGTACACTTCTTTTGTTGAGTTACTGCACATGCAAGGGACCACAACGGTGCATGAAACATATAGTCAACAACAAGCAGAAGAATCATCTAATAAGAAGATTGGGCAGGATGAATTAGAAAGTGTGGCCTACTTAGAAGAACAGAATGATGGCATATCACCTCATTCTAACAGTTCACGAGCTTTGGAAGTTGAAACTTTTGAGCTGAGAGAAGAACGAAATATTACTCAAAAGAAAAGTCAAGAAGAGTTTGCAAGTGAAGAAAGCGGACTATCAGCAGAATCTGCAAGCCAAGCTATGGTTCAACTGGTCAAGACAACAAGTTCCCAAGAAGCATCAAAATCCTGCAACACCTGTCATATCCGCTTGCAAGAAAGATCAAGATCCCGCTGTAAGATGATAGCTGTGAATCCAAATATTAACACTGAACAACACACAGAGGATAATAACTGTGAGGTGCAAGAAGTTATTGCTATAGCAAATGTCTCTGCAGATAATTCCAAAGCCACAGAGAGTAACAACATTTTGAAAGCCTCAGGAGAAACGGCGCACAAGGTAGTTGAAATTAATTCAGTTGATCATGGCACTCATCAAATAGTTAATGGCATGGATGAGGGTAGTTCTAAAGTTAAAAGACAGAAAAGTGGCAAAGTGAAACAGAAAATTGAATGGGACAATCTAAGATTGCATGCTGAAGTCACAGAAAAAAGAGAGAGAACACCCAACACAAGTGACTCATTGGACTATGAGGCAGTGAGGACTGCAGATGTTAATGAGGTTGCTGATACCATCAAGGAAAGGGGTATGAACAATGTGCTTGCAGCAAGAATTAAGGTACCAATTTATATCTTTCCGTGATGAGCATTTTGATATTAACGTATTAGTGGAATCCCATGTCAAATGCTGGCTACGGCTCTGTAAGTCCTTAAACAGACAGATGCAGCTTTTGAAGTACTAAGTAATGCATTGATACAGGACTTGCTTGATCGGCTAGTAGAAGATCATGGAAGCATTGATCTTGAATGGTTAAGAGATGTTCCACCTGACAAAGCCAAGTAAGTACATAAGAACTATAACAAAAAAAATATTGTCTGGCGACTGCTTATTTCCAATCTTGAAACAAAACATGCCAGAATGCATTCCCTGTTTTTAGTTAAAAATAGCACTAACGTTTTCTGATTTAGGGAGTATCTGCTAAGCTTTAGAGGCCTGGGCTTGAAAAGCGTGGAGTGTGTGCGACTTCTGACACTTCACCATCTTGCTTTCCCAGTAAGAATTATACTTGAGAAATAGTTCATCATTCTATTAAGATATTACAATCTTCTTATTCAGACGTTTTATCATAACCTTCAACTAGGTTGACACAAATGTGGGACGTATAGCTGTGAGACTGGGATGGGTACCCCTGCAACCACTTCCTGAGTCTCTTCAGTTGCATCTTTTAGAACTGTAAGCACTAAACCTCCATACAGTTGCTTATGCAAACTTTTTTGAGTTACAAAAGAAACACTAACACTTAGATTCCTACACAGGTATCCAGTTCTGGAGTCGATTCAAAAGTATCTATGGCCACGACTGTGCAAGCTTGACCAGAGAACTCTGTACGCCAATTGTTTCCATACTACACATATAAACATCATTGCCATCTGATTTTGCAACAGATGAACATTAAAAACACTTATTACAAATTTTTATTTATTTTTCGTTATTGACAGGTATGAATTACATTACCAGATGATTACATTTGGAAAGGTAAGACTATATACACAAGGAACATAAAGTATATCCCTAACTGATGCCAACATGAGTTTGTAACTATCGCAGGTTTTCTGTACAAAGAGCAAACCAAATTGCAATGCGTGTCCGATGAGAGGGGAGTGCAGGCATTTTGCAAGTGCATTCGCAAGGTTTGAGCAACATATTTTCTAATCCTCTCCAAGTCTCTAACCAGGATGACAAATAAATAATCATCATATTCTTTTCCCTTTAAGATGCAGCTTTTTCACGGTATTATTACCTGAATTAAGTTACAGTTTCAGCAACAAACATCAACGTCCCAACCCCATATACACAAAAGTATGAACATACACTAAGATATTGCAACTTCTTTTACCAAAAAAATCACAGAGAAACAAACTTAATCTTCTATATCCATGGGTATGCAATGTTTCACCTAACAGCAGAGTGTCTAAAGTGAAAAAAAAAAATCAATGTTCACAAGACACGAAAAAATGTAGTGTAGACAAATATTTCATTTTTTTTTTTTTAAGTTTCCTGTGTGGATTTTGGTGCCTTTGGGCAACAATGGTTCCATGCCACAGTTATGGAAAGCATCATGATCACAATGTGTACTCTAGTTCACTAATGACAGTTTTCACTCCAGTGCAAGGCTGGGGCTGCCAGCACCAGAGGAGCGTATGGCAAGTTTAACAGAAAACAGAACTGGTCAAAGCTCTATTGGGTTGATAGAACAATGCCACATAACTCTACCTTCAGCTAGTGAACAATGGCAACAACTGTCTGACATCCAAAATTGCAACTCTGGTATTGAAGAACCAGCAACACCAGGGAGTACAGTTGAGGTACCAGCAACATCAGGGCCTATAGTTGAGGTACCAGCAACATCAGGGACTATAGTTGAGGTACCAGCAACATCGGGGCCTATAGTTGAGGTACCAGCAACACCAGGGCCTATAGTTGAGGTACCAGAAACACCAGGGCCTATTATTGAGGTACCAGCAACACCAGAGCCAGAACCAATACAAGAAGAATTTGATATAGAGGACTTCTGTGAAGACAGTGAAGAAATTCCCATGATCAAACTCAACATTGAAGAGTTCACTCAAAATTTGCAAACTTATATGGAAAAGCATATGGTACTTGGAGAAGGTGACATGTCAAAGGCGTTGGTCGCCTTAACATCAGAAGCTGCCTCGATCCCCACTCCTAAACTTAAAAATGTGAGCCAGCTAAGAACAGAACACCAAGTGTAAGTGATTATCATTCAATGCCAATTTGTTGTTGATGGCCTTCTCAGATATCCACTTCATGCATCTTAAGAGAAGTAACATGTTACGCCTTTCCTTCCAAACATATTGCCCACTGGGGTCTTAATCAGTGAAGTTGATAATGTGTGTTCTTGCTGCTGTTTATTCTCTGTTGGTGTTTATGATAGACAAAGTTCGAAAAGATATTATATGTGATGGTAGAAAACAAATGACTAAAGCATAGCACAAGTGTATCTAGGATGAAAAATAAGAGATTCAAAATACTTGATAACTGGAAATTGGATCACATGAGTTAAACATTAGAGGATTTCAAGATCATGATACAGAATTAATCATAATGTCTAATAGCAGGGCAGTTAGTTTTTAGATTTTTATGATATAGAATGAGGTTGTCTGGAAGCAAGCAAGATCAATTTGGATTATCTAGATGTTCAACATTATTAGAACATTCAGAATTAAAACATTCACCACAGTTAAGGCGCCCCAAAATCATCAATAATGGACTTATAAGATATATGAAGCAAAGCGTGTGCTGAGAAAAATGTGGACACGTGTGAACACTATAACAAAGCAGCAAACCAACTTCAACAGCACAACTAAGTCTAAAAGGATCATGATGTTGCTTTTAGCATCAGTGTTAGTTCTAATGGCTTTTCCATATCAACTTTGCAGCTATGAGCTTCCAGATTCACATCCTCTCTTGGAAGGGGTAAGTATACTTTATGGAGAATATAAATTGCCTCTTCATTAGATTTTTGTTTCTAAACAAATGTTCCCTACATTTCAGCTGGACACGAGAGAACCTGATGATCCTTGCTCATACCTTCTTGCAATTTGGACACCTGGTAAGTAGGAAATAAAGAATGAAAATGTAGCCAGAAACATATAAATGCCTCAAAGCTACACTTGCAATTATTAACCGTGTGAACTCTCCTGAAATGAGAACAACAGAATTATATAATTGGTTTTGTGAATGCTGATTAAGTTATTTGTTGTGTCGTTCTTTTTATACCAGGGGAAACTGCAGATTCAATTCAGCCACCAGAAGGACAATGTTGCTCCCAAGAATCTGGCACATTATGCAGTGAAGAAACATGTTTCTTTTGCAACAGCACAAGAGAGGCAAATTCCCAAACCGTTCGAGGGACGCTCCTGGTAAGTAATCATGTACAAGTACGGCTGTAATTAGATAGTAGATATGAGCCTGCACATTCAGAATTGTACTACATCTGATCTCAATCTTAATTGCAAATCATGGACAGATACCATGTCGAACCGCTATGAGAGGGAGCTTTCCACTCAATGGCACATATTTCCAAGTCAATGAGGTATAACCTAATGCTACCTCTGCTAACCTGAATCTTCCTGACTATCAAGTAGTATTTTCCTTCGGGTTGGTGAGAATGTTATTGTCCTGTTTTAAACAAAAACTTCCATTGAGGTGTAGGTGTTTGCAGACCATGAGTCAAGCCTTAACCCAATTGATGTTCCGAGATCTTGGTTGTGGAATTTACCAAGAAGAACAGTTTATTTTGGAACTTCTATACCAACGATATTCAAAGGTAGTAAGAGAATTAGCTTGATATTTATGCATAACATCAGTCTAAATATCCCATCGAACTTCAATGTATGCCAAACTTACTATGTGGCAATTTTTATCTACCAGGCCTGACAACAGAAGATATTCAATACTGCTTCTGGAGAGGTATGATGAGATATAGATCCCCATTATGTGGTTTCCAGGTTTTTTACATTAATCTCTAGCTGCACTAATAATAGCCCAAAGATTAACACAATGACACAAACTGGCATAATAGGAGTAGAACCTAGGGACACACCAACTTTTGACAGCTGGTGATGATGAAAATGGTTTCATAGATGAATTTTGCATAATCTTGGTTTCAAAACAATGTATTTGGTTTTAGTGTTTGTAAACTTGGAGTACATATTTGTGGTTTGAGAAACTCCTTTTAAAGGCTACTGTGTCAGCTGAAGTTCTCATAACAAACTTTGCTGTGAGGGTTTCCTACTTTCCTCTAATGAGAATCAACTTGACTGTTTACTGTGAATTCTGGAAGCAGTGGTGCACTACTTAAAATCCGTCCACAAAGAAATTTGTTAAAGAGTGACCTACAACTATCCTGTGATTTCTCACGCTTGGTTTTAATCATGTCATTCAGGGTTTGTTTGTGTGAGGGGATTTGACCAGAAGACACGAGCGCCCCGCCCGCTAATGGCCAGGCTACACTTTCCAGCTAGCAAGTTAAAAAGATCAAGGCCAAAAACTGATGGAAACTAGACGTTATTGTGGTGCAGACGTTGATGCAGTCTCTGTAGTCAATCCCAGGTATAAATGGCAAGATAACCATGTGCAAACAGCAGCAGCAGACATACAGATTTTGCAAAAGACATTGTCGTCATGGCCAGAGTGGCATGATTCATAGTTTAGGGATCTCATAGAGACAGCAGTTAGCTTGTATGACTGAAAGATGAAATACAATGCTTTATTATTTTTGTTTTCTTCTAGAGATATTAGAAGGTTTTCTCCAGTTCCTATTAGTTTTTTGGGCTATACTGATAAACCAGAAGAGAGCACCATAGCAAGACATCAAATATGAGATTGACCAACATGCCAAAGACAATTTTCACTGGACATCCTAAAAAGAATACTTTTGCCATTTTCATCACTTGAAGAGAGTATGTTCCGATCCTGACCACCATTCAGGGAACAAGACACATAGAACCATCCGGGAAATCTCAATTTCTAAACAAAAACTTTCCTACCAGTTAAAAGCATATATTAATATGTTCCTAATTGTAGAGTATATATTCTTATAAGCATCATCACCAATGGCCAAAAATATTCCATCTCCTGGTCCTGGATGACCCGCAAACAACTCTTCCACCAGACTTAAGCAGTTAAGTGGGAAGTATAAAATAATTACCAAAGAAGCGGAAGGTGACCATTGGTGCATAAAGAACTGAGAGGGTTTCACAATATTGACATACAGGCCAAACAATGACATTGGCATATCCAAGGACCAAGATACAGCCGACTAGACAATACAGGTTAGGAAGTAGCCTAACTCCTCCCTGTTGTTAAAACTGAGAAACGTATAACACAGAGTAACTATTATCTCTTTGAGAGAATTAATCAATATCAACAACGGTCTGAAACCGACTAAGCATAATGGTCCAGTTTGTTCAATAGTGTATGCGTTGAAATTTCAAATTCTCTTCTGAAAAATGTCTATCCATGTCAATTATATTTTTGTCCTTTTATGTTATTGAGGAGCCTTGGAAACAATATATTCAGTGCATTTTATGGAAGTCTTGTACTGCAAGCAGACATGAGAAATTGTCTATACATATCAATTGTATGCTTTGTCTTATCATGCTGGAATCATTGATAATACCATTAGACGACTTTTTTCTATGTGAAAAGCACCATCAGTTTCAGAGTATCAACTCTGATATCCGCTTTAAGCTCCCTCACGGAGAGTAACTCCTAATACCAAGAGCCCTGCCCTAGCCTCAACAAGAAATACCCCTACACAGAAGGCCCGTCATCAAAACCACCATGTGGTCTATAAACCGAGACACAAAATAACATTTATTTTTCTTTGAAGTGTTCTTCAGATACCTTAATATTCAAGTAGCAGCAGCCAGCATAGGTTGAAAGAATACGGGTCAGGTGTAGTGATTAGTAAGGAAGACTAACATGACAGCTGAAGGTGAGCGACGCATGGCTCAAGTTAAGTATACCAATTTTCTTGCAAGCCATTAGTGATGGTCGTCTATAATCAGTTCCCCCAACGTTTCATATTCATACTTAAAGGTGTATCAATAGGCCCAAGGCCCAAGATCGTAATTCCATCCAAAGAGATCGAGGGTAGACTCTACGATAGGAACATATCATGTTGAGAGATGAGAATATACAATTTCAATTCCCAAAAGCATCACAATTGACCCAAAGTCCTCAGACGGTAATGGCAATTTTAGATGATAGTTAAATAGTAATGCCTCATTCCATCAGTCATCACTCTCGTTCTGTTCCTTTCTCTGCCGTTCCATCCAACCATTCCACCATGAGAAACATCAAACATGCTCATTATGAATTCACATACCATCAGCAAAAAAATCAACCCTCATACCGCCTAGCGAATCCATCTTCCATCTTAATTTGATTATTTTTAAACTATTTTAGCTTCAGAAAATAAAGCGACTGCCAATTGGCTTAGAAGGAAAAAAAACGTCTACGGTAAAGCTCTTCCAATATCCAGTTAATTAAATACAAAAGCACATAAATCAGGATTTACAACATCAACAGAAAAAAGTTCAATTTGATCCGAATCAAACAAAAAATATTAATCATGTGTGTTATCATCGAGAATTACATAAACGTAACCACACAAAAACTCATATGATCTACTTAAGCTAACATGCAATTCTAAGTTCTAACATTCGTTTTAACTTGTTCGTCGGTTCTCAGTGTCCGACAGCAATAACGATAATCATTCGCATGAACATATTCATCAATCTAACAACACAAGTTCATCAAGTCTGTGACGTACCTTCTTGAAATCGATTAGCAGATAATGTACGGATACAGACAGTTGATCCGGCAATAGAAAATATATTGATCCGACGGAAGCCGGCGGAGGGACCGGGGGAGATGGCGCCAAAAGATTGTGGTGGTGATTCGAGGATATTTGTGACTTGGCTGTTTTTTCCCGCCTTCTCACGTTCCCGCTTTGGGATATTTTGACTCCCCCTCCTTTCTGACCATATATAAGAGCACATCCAAAATAAAAAATTTGGGTTTTTTTTCAATAGATTCTTTAAAAAAATATTCAAAATTGATATTGTTTTTGACAAATATTAATTATCTTTTATATATTATGTTATAAAGCATTTTGATATAATTTTTTTAAATCCATTTTTAATGCATCAATTATTTTTTATTAATGTATATTATTCAAAATTTAAGATTACAAGTAATTATGTGTCAATCCTATTTATTAAGGTTTTATGCTTTAATTTGTGTAAATAACTTCAGATAAACATAATCAAATACATGATAAATATATATTTTTAATATATAAAATATAATAAATATAATAATTAAGTTCTAACATAATACTTAATTATTATCTTTACAAAAAATTATATCATTAAAYCAAAAATAAATTACTTTGTTATTAAATCCAAATTAAATTATAATTAAAAATTTGAGTTAAACAAATTATACTAAAAACGATAACTTTTAAATAGTTATTTTGATATTAATATCGATAACTTTTTCAATTTTTTTATGAGATTTTCACATTTATATATAACATTTTTCTCAAAAACATGTAAAACTGTATTATAATATCTACATAGACAAATAATAAAATGAAACATTAAAATCGAGATGTATCTCGTTGCATTATATGAATACTCTTTTATTTTTTTTCTAATAATCGTTTGGATGTACATTAATTAACTTATAAATTATCTTGATAAGCTATTTGGAGTAGCTTATAAGGAACATTTTAACATTTTTCTCCCAATTATAACCATGATCAATATTAATTATTAATAATTATTAATTCATAGAAATTAATTAATCAAAAAAAGTTTTAATTATACAATGCATGCTAATAATATTTGTGATTATTTATAAATATTATTAGCTATATCAATTACTTTTTTAATTATTACTCAATACATTTAGATATCAAAAAATTAAATATAAAATTTATAAAAATATTTATGTAAGTCACATAAAAATTATATTTATTTTATTTCATAAATAATTAAAGTATGCTAAACAATTTTAATAAAATATTTAATTTAACTGTTAATTTTTTTTTAAATATTAATTAATTAGGATATGTAAAGTTGACCAATTTTATTGTTATTTAAAATCATAAACATGTAGATATTTTCTAAAATTTGTTTTAACAAAGGGTTTTTCACCAAAATAGTTAAAATATACCTAATATATTAAGAAAATAGTGATTTTTTTCAAGTTTTTCACAAAATAACCACACGGATCGTCCCAGGGGAATGTTGACCATGGGGGGCGATCCAAGCTTAAAATTTGACTGATATTTTGTCTTCTAATACACAAAATATCACTATATATAGCTTGTGACCTCTCAATCATTTTTGTTCACACCTCACTTATCACTTCTACTCTCATATCTTCTAAATTGACAGAGTAAAAAATGAAGGTTTTCCTCGCTTTTATTCTCACAACCATTACCCCTTAAACACAATCTACCAACCCTTAACCCATTAAGCACAATCTACCAACCCTTAACCCATTAAGCACGATATATCATCACAATCCTTCACTCTCAAACACAAATATGAAATCACGTCAAAATGATAATGTTTTCGTGTATGTTCAAAGTGGCGGTTCATTATAGGGGATAAAATGGTGCCTTAGAGTATATGTCGTTAAGATCCCCCATATGTGTATTATATTTGCCTTCGCCAATAACATATTCTGGTTTGATTAAACGTGTTACAAAAAAATTAAGCTTACATAGTCCTTTCATGTTATTTTATAAAAATAATTCCTTGCAAAAATTATACGAGTTAAATGACGACGACGATGTGATAATGTTCCATAACATTGTTCATCAAAGTTTACCATAAATGTCGACACTCTTTGTTGTCGACGATGGCGGTTATGGTGGAAATTCATCAAGTGTCGTACTCCATCAAAGTTTACCTCGTGGTAGTGGTGCAAACCCATACGGTCAAAACACTTTTTACCCCGGTGGTAGTGGTGGAAATCCAAACACTTTTTTTCATCGGTGACGTTGATGGAAATTCATATTTTGAACCAAAAAATCTTGTTGATCATGACAGTTATTTGGTTCAAGATTTGAACCACTCTCCAAGACAGATTCCGAACCAATACCTGATACAATATTTGTACTAGTCTCCAGAACATTCGAAAAATTTGTGGGGAATAGATACGGATGAAGATGTTTCTGTTGCAACATAAATTTTGAATATAGCCGAAGACGATAACTCAGATGCTGAAAAAATCCATCCGGTAAAGAATAATTTTTAGGGTATGCCCGACCCAACACCTTGCCTATACCCTATTGTCAAACATAGACAGGGAAATGTTTCCTACCACCCTACATCCCATGTAAAAGTTCTCCAAACCTTTGACTCGAATGAAGCATTGATATTCGCATTGGGATTAAAATGCGTCTTTGAGAACTTCCAGATAAAGGTTAAAAAATCAACCAAATATCGGTACAACACTCCACTGCGGACTGTGATTGGCATTTAATGGTTGTTTCTATCGATGGTATCAGTATGTTTCAAATTTAAAAATTGCATGATGAACGCGTATGTGCAAGGTCCCAAGTCCACCCAAACCATCGTAATGCGAATAAAAAGGTTTTTGGTCATGTATTGACAGAGAGTTTAAAGGATCGTATGAGCATGTATCGTGGAAAAGAAATCCTGGAAGATGTGAACCAACGGTTCAATATTAGCATCGTCTACAGTCAAGCATGTCGAGCAAAGATGTATCTTGCAACAGTTAAGGGTAGTGATGGCCAAACCGACCCGACCCAACCCGACCCGACCCGGGACTGGGACCACCAAGGACCGGCCCAGTCCGGGACTGGTTATAGGACCAAAGTTTGGGACCGGTTTATGGATTTGGGGTGTTTTGTGGGACCGGCCCGGCCGATTTTTAAAATATGTAGTTGTTTGTTGACCCTTTTTTGTATTTTTTGCTTTATAAACACTATATATAAGTGTATTGGTTGAGAGATTTGCATACCAATTTCTCAATTCGCAAAAAACGTAAAAAAACGTTCACAATTATCGGGTTCTCGCTATATTTTGTAAGACATGTTGTTTGTCACACTCGATTGTTCAGTAATAGTTGTTATATTATTGAATTCATGTCATAATTTTATGTTTTGAAGTTTATATTTGTAACCTTGTTCATCTGCATATTCGCTCATTTATAAGACACTTGCAACCGCTCCTTATAATGGACAGTGCCCATCTGAAGGGGCTATATGTAGGCATCTGAAGGGGCTATATATAGCGGTCAACATGGATGGAAACAATTAGATCGTACTCATTGCAATGGGAGTGGGGAAGACAGAAAGTGGCCCGTCATGGACATGATTTTTACATAAGTTGAGGCAATGTATCGGTGTAGTGCCCCATTTAACCTTCGTACCCGATGAGCTGCCTCTATCGAGTTGGCCATAAGAATTGTATTCTCCAACGCGCACCACAGACTTTGTTGTCAACATTTGAGCCAAAACTTGTGCCTAACCTCGAGTAGAGACAAAAGAAAACGATGGATGTTCTGGGAGGCATGCAAAACTTATATGATGTCAGACTCTAAAGCTACAATGAATTTGATGCGGCACAGTCTACTTAACACCGCTCAATATATTGAGGAAGATGGTTACACAAGATGGGCAAGATCGCACTTCTCTGGATTGCGTTACAGTGCAATGACTTCCAATAGTGCTGAGTCCATCAACTCAGTAACCCGGTTTGCACGTTACCTTCCGATAACAATATTAGTTGAATTTTGTTGGGAGACATTACAACAATGGTATTTTATACGTCGGCATAACGAAGGTAAATACAACCATCCAAAACTATATATGTGCTTATGTAACATATGCTAATTTTGTCTTCGAGTTTTGTGAAAATCGTGTTTGAGTTCGTGAAAACATGAATGAGTGAAGCACAAGTTCTAATCAAACTCTGTGGTTTAACGAGAATAATTTTATCATTTTAAGAATACCGGATGAAATGAATTCAATTCTGTCCTCACTATCATGGAATGATGAAATCCATGGTTGATAGAATTAAGTTCCACTTCATAGGTAAACCAAACTTCAGAATAAAATTTGATCAACGAAATTGACCACTCCGATTTTATCAGATTCCATCGGAATTTCTTTTATTTTTTATAAATAAAGAAAACTACATAATTCAGTAGATCAAAACATAATTCAATTAATTGTTAGAGATGCTCTTAGAGTACCACATTGACTTAAACTTACGAGGTTTTTTACCAAACGCTTACCCGAGTAAACATTTACCAAGTCATCTTACCTCACAGAATGAATATGGTATGGACCAAGAATCTTACCAGGTAAGAACAAGGCAACGACCAAGAGTCTTACTCGGCAAGTGAGACCGATGACTCTTACCACAGTTAGTGCTTAAAAGGTAAATTGTTAAATACAATACCGTTTTGGTGAACGAAAATCTTACCCGGTAAGTGATAATTTAACCGGTATGCGTTTACCGAGTAAATGTTCGGTAAACGACCTCTTAGACCATTCATCCTCCATATATGTTGGAATTTCCCTTTTTTTCTCAAAAGTTTCTTTAAAGAGTAATATGGGGTTACACACATTTCTTTGAGATGATTTTTTTTTTTGGTTTGCAAAAGGCCAGATGCCAGTAATTAACTTTGGTTCATGGTGAAAACAAAATGGATTCCAAAGGCTTATACCTATATATTGATAATGAAGTAGAACACTTGTTAACGATACAAGTATCATCCAAATTCTACATGCACACACAGTTACTAGAGAACAACTGATTCACAAACTTACTTGGGGTTGTTTACCAAATTTTTTATTAAGTCCTGTATGAATAAATTTATCTGTTTAGATAAATTTATGTTGTTGTTTACTTTTCTGTCTGAATAACAAAAATGACCAATTTACCCTTGAACAAACAGCAAATACCCCAAAAAGGCAAACAACAGTTTGAAATTTCTTGTTTCCATGATATATACCATAATCTCTATTTACTAATCAACTAAAGGTGCAAACAACAACTTGAAATTGGAAATTTCTTGTACCCAATTTCTAATTTCCAAATGTTTCACAGTCATTGTAACCTAAAACCTAAGTAGGACAAAGAACATAACCAAAACCCATAATCACCAAATGCCATATACGACTGTGTGATTTTTGAAACATTAACAGGTAAACAAATGTAATAAAAACAGCAAATATTAACAGGTAAGCAAACCTTAAGCAAACAACAAAAATTAACAGCAGCAAATACCTTAATCGATCGATTTTGGAGAAGAAAGCAACAACCGATGGAGAAGAGAGCAACAGCCATCGATCGATGGAGAAGAGAGCAACAGCTGTCGATCGATGGAGAAGAGACCAACAGCCGTCGATCGATGGAGAAGAGACCAACAACCGATGGAGAAGAGAGCAACAGTCGATCGATGGAGAAGAGATCGAAGGTCTTGCGTTGAGAGAGGCGCGACAATAGGGTGTTGGATCGATGGAGAAGAGACGTGAGTTGAGAGAGGCGCGACTATTGTGTAAGGGTAGGGCAAGTCTTTTACCTTGGCTTAACCTGGACAACACAGGTTTTTCATCTGGGCGAATAAGCCTATTTTTGAGCGAATAAGCCCAAGGTAAACAGCCTTGCTTGTCTGTGTGAATAAGCCGGTTTATCCACTAAGCTCATTAAGCCTCAAGTAAACAGGCCCCAAGTCTTTTTCTTGTCTGATTGGATTGGATTGGATCCTAGATATCATCCTCAGGAGTGACCTGGACGAAAGACAACGGAACAATGAGATCATAATAACAAACAACAAAATCGCTATTAACCCAATAAACATATGTTCGCGTCGCCAAACAAAATCTCTTCTATGACCCGACTGTTAACTTTAGGGTCTTATGGAATTAGTTCGGGTACATGTAAAGCTGATCTGGGCGGGCGTCCACGGTTATCCCTGAAAATATCTTCATGCTGTTTCAAGGATCACCATAATGAGTTCATTAAATGTCATGAATAAACTGCAATTACTGAGATTCAAATTCAAAACTAAATCCAATAAGAAGGAAACAAAATAATCAACTGAGTTATTGGATAATAATTTTCCCGTCTGAAACCCCTATCAAACGATTAAAGTTAGGATTCAAAATCCATATTGGTTGGTGTTCTTCACACAGCCATGGTCTCTGGACTGGCTAGTTTCACCACTCGGCCAATTTTCAGTACCAGAAGCTGCTAAATTCCAGAGATCAGACAACTCACCACCAGCGGCACCAAATTCTGGTAATTCATAGTTTCCAATATCATTCCACATTTCATTACTGGAAATAGGCATTGCAGCAACCGCCAAATCCGAGCTCCAAAATTCTTCCTGTTTAACCATGCAGTCATCACTCCCAGGAGAAAAGAGTTCTAACATGGTGTTCTCTTTAGCCATATTCACTGGAGATGATATATAGTGCTCTTTTTTGGCTTCAAAATCTAAGTTGAACACACTTTCTTCTTCCGGAAGGGGATCTTCAACTTGATTCGGTTCCTGCGAATCAATATTATGTAGTTGCAATGGTACAATTTCTGTGCCAAAATCAAGATTCCTTACCGTATCATCAACTAGAATCGGATCTAATCCACAATCTTGATTACCAGGATGATGCTTAACAAACTTCCGAACTGTTCTTGGAGAAGAAATACGACCCTGATCTTTCCTTTTCCTGACACAAGATATGAATTTTGGGATCTCAATAGCTTTAGCCAAGGATGAGACTATCTGTTTCTGCATATCTTCTGCTGCTTGGAGCTTTTTGTTCACTGATTCCATATATTGATGTGTCCCATGTTGCTGCTGTTGTAGCTTGGAAACCTCTTCCATCATCTCCATCTTCTCCTTCTGTAATCTTTCTAACTCAGCTTCAACCGAAACGGTGCTCCCTTCTTCTTTAACCTGTTGAGACTGCTGTGACTTACGCCTCCGAATTCTTTTCAGGAAATGCTTTTTCCCTCGCAAAAAGCCTTCACAAGCGAATTCCCACCTGTCTGTGTCAACCTTGCGAAATCCCTGAACTCAATCACCCACAAACATTTCAGTAGTGAAGATGCAGAAGATTAAACACCACCAAAAACAGATAATCTAGATTATTACACAAAAGCAAATCCAATCCACGGGAGATCAACAAAAAGGAGGAAGAGTATCAGCACATTTTAGAACACATGCAACAGTATTATCTTGGCAATAAATTAGTTGAATATAGTCGGATGCTTTACCAGCTGACACTGAAATCTACCTGGCGCATCATAAATCTTCTATCTCCAGTAGATATTGGAAAGAGAAGTATGTTCAGAAGACAATTAGTACCTCTCATTAATACAATACAATGAAGGTCAGTTGAATTCTTGATATGCGCAGTTCCAAACCAATGAAAACTAGAGGAATAACAAAAAAACATATCCGATAACAATCTTGTTGCCAATAACAAACTGATTTGCAGACCGAGTCGCGCAGTATCCAGATACCCAACTCAAAAACCAGTAAGACCAAATGATGATCAGAATTAGAAAACAAACCCCCTCCATTATCTATGTGTAAAGTTACATTGAAATATATACTAGAGGCAAACCAACAAAGAAAATATACAGAAAAGGCTAAGCTACAGATGTGTAAAACGAAAGACAAACATGAAATTTGAAGGAAACAAAGAAAGAGAAGAGAGAAATATTGGAAATAGCAAAAGTTAAAGAGTGTACATACAGACTATGAGACTAACATAGCGACCCCCATGATTAGGGGTCTAGTGTTAAAGCAAATATATACCCACATATGTGTTTAGTTGTCGAACAAAGCTGGAAAAATTGTTGTGCTTGAAATTTCTTGGCAAGATTATCCTGGCGAACTCCAGTGGATCCCACACAACAAAGCTTGCACCAGTATCACCCCATGAGATAATCTGGTCTAGTACAGGGTCATCCACCAAATCAAAAGTCTTGGACAAAAATGGCGGGATTGGTGTCCCATTTAAGCAATCAAGCGGTTGAGGAATACCCCCATCACCAGTTCCAATCTCCAGATGGTCATCTGTCATCAATTGTTAATAAAAAGTTATTACAGAGGCCAACATATCATTTTCTAACCGAATACGAGAGAAACAAATTTAAAATTCCAATCACGATAATACAAGAAAACAGAGCAGTTTCATTGAACATATTCAAAGTTCATCATAGAATAAGGTAGCATTTTGTTAGCATAGCATGAGAAATCATGTTGTCAATTTCCAATAAAAAGCAATCACACAACACAATTATACAGCAAACATAACAATTAGCAATACCCACCAAAAGCCATCGATAGGGGAAGTGGCTGCTGACACGAATTGGGCAACGAAGAAGAAACCGATTGTAATGGACGAGATTTAAGTGGGCGATATGAAGAAGATGAAAGTGAGGGTTTATAGAGAGGATCCATGGCTTCAGATGAAGATACAGATAGTGAAAATGGGCAGTGTGAAGTTATGGAGGAATTGTGCATGTATATATAAGTAACATGTATATATGCAGACAAGGTGTTTGATAAAAATCTTGAAAGAGAGGCGGTGTAGGAGGTCTGCTACTGTTCATGTTCTGTTTCTTCAACGGTAGGCAGAAGTTTCGAAGAGGAAGAGTCTATCAGATATTTTAGCTGCAGTGAGATTTTTTACAGCTGTCCATCGTTTCGATACTACGTCGTTTTGTTGCTTAGAGTTTAAGGCTAACGAACAACCAATCAGGTTTTAGATTTTGGGGTCGAGAGAAATCGGAGCTACTGTGGACGGGGCCCCAGCGGGTCGGTGCACTCGGGTGGATATTAAACTAATAACATGAATACATGATGATAAAAGTATTAGATAAGACTTTATTTAAATATTATAATGTTTATATACTTGTTTTTATCACTTTCTGTGAAATTTCGCGTTTGATGAAACAAGTTAAGTTTTATTAATTTAAATATTAAAAGGTATTCGTATAATACAATAAAATATATTTTGATTTTAATGTTTTATTTTTTATCTCAATCGATATTATAATATAATTTTATGTGATGTTTTTTAGTTTTAAATAAAATATAATTTTATGATTTTAGAGTTTTTATCAAAATTTTTATAATATAATACAAATTATTGGATCAATGAAGTTTGATTACCAAACAATGTTTAATTATATATATGTGTTAAGTAAATTAAACGCATAAAAATTTAAAAACCAATGATGTGGTTTTTATTTTACGAATAAATTTTCAATAGTTTATTTGAGGGTTTAGAATTTAAAATTTTCTACTAATCAAATAATATAAGTTTTGCACAAAAATAAAATAACAATAGAAGAAAAAAAATGTTGCAATAATCTAAAAAATACCATCCTTACAATATTATTGGCATAAGAGGAGTTTTTAACTTTGAAACTTTTATTTGTATAATTTTGATCTGTAGATTTTTAATTCAAAATCAAGTTGTTAATAGTTTATTTTACATAATTGAACATGTTATAAGTGAATATATTTTGCAACTTATAAGGTATAAGATGCTAAGATACACAATTGGTTGAATCGATAAATAAATTCCCGTATCGCTTTTATCATATATATATATATATATATATATATATATAGGGGCCTATTCAAGGGAGAACTGAGTTGTTTGTGGTAACTGTGAGAACCAATATTAACCACAAATCAATAGATAAATTAGGAAATTTATAAATTTGGTAATTTTAAATTAAAATCTT